AAAAGCAGACTAACGAACCATACAACGAGAAAAGATGTCCTCTTTAGACAGATGCATATTGAATTGTCGCAGGATAAACTCAATTTGCTGGATCATGGTCAACGTTTGACCGGTCGGAAGTGGCACTATACGATTTGTCCCCCGCAACGAACGGTGCCTTCGAAGCTACAAAATAAATTTCTGAAAGTAATTTTCAGATATGAACGTGACCAGCCATTACTGACCTAACGAAGTGAATCTCGAATACGGAGATAGGTCCTTTCAATAACCATGCTGAAGACGATGCTTTAAGGGTATTAAAACCATGGTCACCAACAAGTGACGAGCAATCACTGATGCTGCCCGATCTTAATGTGCTATTTAAGCAGACTGTAGCAATCAGGCTGATCATGGAAGCCTATTATTTAAATTGTTCAATGCTAAAAAATCTCTTCGGAAAGGTCTCTACAAAATACTTTTAACGGAGAACTACTGAGCTCGTAAAATCGTCAAGAGACAAAACGAACGTCAAGATCGCTAAACAACTGACCAGTGGTCAGTGAAGCATTGCTCAAAGCAACTGGGAAAGTAGTAGCTACATAAGTGGAGAATCAGATTATGAATTAATAGGTGATCCAAGCATAATGCCAATAAGCTACTGAACAAGTACCCATATGATACCTCATCGACTGCTTTTCCACACGTCAAAATGTAACGCTTCGGATCTTTTACCGCGCATTCGATTAGAAAACTTCTTGTCTCCGCTAAAATTGTATCAATACCACATCTACAATAGAAAATTTTTCACGAAAAAAGAAAAATACCGGCTGAATCCTGAGTGAAAACTGAGCTTAGACCGAGGCACACACAAGTAACCCGAGCAGTATTACGTGGCAACAGTAACCAATCGTCGATAAAAAGAAATCAACCACATACTCTACCAGAAAGTAAAGCCAGACACAGTATTCACCTTCTCAAATGTTTGCCCAAACCAAGCATCATCGAATCGACAATTATTTTCAGATCTTTTGGTCTCATTTGGTTCATCGTGTTATCCAGATCATCGTTGACACGCTAAAATGATAAATTTTTTTAAAATTCAAAATTCAAACTCAATTCCTTCCTCCTTTCCCGCCCCCTTTATTCACTCTAAACGGCAGCTGTAGACGTTTGGAAGTAGTTCGAGTGATAGCAGGTGCCAACAGTGATCAAATGTTGCTAAGGCTGCCTACGACAGTATTTTTGAGAAGTTACTTAAGCTTTGATTTCTCGGCCTAAATACGTCACAATATACCAATTTACCATCGAAAGAATGAACAAATCGTACAGAGACTGACTGTCTCATTGACAAAACCAAACCTCAGAACTTCAACACAAAAGTATACTGCTACTTACCACTGCGCCATGCAAACTCTTTCGAATTCTGTTATTTCAAAAAAAAAAAGATCGAAAAATTGCTGCAAGTTATAAGTGACCTGGATCATTTTTTGAAATTCAGCTTCATCAAACTTGACTGCTTTCTTCTTCGCTTTCTTATCTTCCTTTTCCGCAAGACGGGTTATGTCGGCATCTAGCATATGCTTTGCCCAATCCATAGAATATTCCCTAAAAATTTGATATATTTTTTAATGTACTCATTTCCACAGCCTGTTGAAAACTTGCCAACGGTGGGCTGGAACGAATACTGGTTTGATAAGAAAATAAATGGCCACCCTGGAAATCAAAAATAAAAGACCACTCAAGCAATCACTGAAGAGGTGGCGTAGAAAAGGTGGTAGGTACTAGCTGAAGGTGTACAGCTTAGAATCGAAAGACCTGGCATAGTTGCGGTCGACGACGTCTGGGGGGATACCAGCAGCATCAACTGTATAGGATCACTGCAACTATTAACTGCGCGAACATAATGCTCTTGGTATGACTAAAAACTTGATAAACAAGTACCCTTCAGCTCTTGCTTTTATTTTTTCGTACAATTCCAGCAAGCAATAACCATCTTTCGCAGCATACATCATTTGCTCGTAACGAAGAGGACGCATCGCCCAGTTACCCACCTAAATATCACACAAAAAATTGGAACTAAAAAGCTGGAAGTTTGAAATTTGGTAAAAATCGGGCTTCGAAATAAAGCTTATATGTTCATTTAAGCTAATGCAAAATGAAGCATCATATGAAATGAGAAAAATAAAATGCATAAAATATAATTAATGATAACAAACGAAGCAAATGATTCAACTGACTAAAGACTTAAGACAAAGTGAATTTTAGCTAGTCACTTAGCCTAAAAAAAGTAGCCTGAAAAGAATAAAAAAAAAAAGAAAGGAAAAATAGCCTGAAAAAGGTTAAGGCTAAAAAAAAGAACGTTAGGATCGCGAGCACACCTATCACCAGCCGATGAAGCACTGATCAAAGCCAGTAGATTTTGAAAAAACTGCCAACTGCACCAGTAGAGAACCCCGCACATCAAAGTAGAATCTTCCTCAGGTAATTTCGATAAGATAAACGTATGGATATATCAGTTTTTAAGCGATTAAGAGCAAAAATAAGAAAAAGGTACCAATCTGGCTGATTCTGACCTTCAAACTGAGAAGTACTGCGAAGCCCCCAACCCATTTCCCTTCAGTCCCTTCCCCTGTTGAACCAAAAACTTTCTGCAGCTCAAAACTTTCTGTGAAGTGAACAGACAGTTTCGGAAGTGGTCCAAGAGAAAACTCGTCGAAAACAGTTGTTGAGAGTCCTTTCTGAGAAATAAACTAGCCAAAAAACTGGCCCCTTCTAAGAGATGAGACAGTAAAAAAAAAAAGAAAAAAACCAACTTGCTCACGCTTATCCAATGCCTCACCAAGGACTTTCTCGCACAGATCGGTGAGTCGAAAATGCACTGTCTCATCAAAATACGAGTTATCCAAGTTATTTTCATCGTCCATTGGCAGAGAAGGACAAGCTGAAAGAAAGCATGAGCGAAATTTTAGACCCTGTTCTCTACTAATGACAATCGGAAACAGCCACAAAGAAGTGAGGACGTTACTCTATCAAAAAATGGGAAAAGCCTCCCAGAAAGAGGAAATCTAAGAGGGAATCACCTTTCGTTCCAGAGTTATCGATTTCTTCACACCAGCACCAACAACCTGGCCAATCTCATCTTAACATATTGCAGGTCTATAGCTTCAGTTCCGGCTATTTCAACAAAAAATAGCGAGTCTTCTAGCCGGAAAGGTACCTCATCGTGTTTCAAAAGCATTGGTTTCCGAAACAAGGAGGTATTACACACAAAGTTATCTCAAAAACGAAAACTGGTAATTCCTTCAGGCGAAGAATCGACTTTCAAGGTCGCCAGCAAGCTGTCCAATAGATAATGCAACACTAGTAGAACAACTACAAAGTTGCCCAATCACATAACTGGGGGAAGAAACTGCAAATTAAAACTAATCCACGTACAGGAAGTACAAGCGGCGTCAAAATCACATTTAAGAGCCCATGATGTAATCTTCGTGAAAAAAGAAAAAACAGAAATGCAAAGAAATCAAAAACGACATAGATAAACGACGAAGAAAAAGAACAAACCTGTATTGCTTAAGTCCAGAAACATCGGATTTGAATTAAGCAGCTGCAAAAAGAAATATATTTACAAAAATAAGTTTTTAATGAAATAGGAAAAAAAGAAGACAACTTTCACATCT